GATTCCATGGGGGGGTCGCTTCGATACTTGCCCCAGCCATTGGATTCTGATCGCTGGGCTAGGAAGGGGTTAGGCGAATCAGTTAGTGCATTGGATTGGCGAGCAGTGAAGCCACTGTGAAGGTAGGTTTCCCTACAGGATTGTTGGTGAGGGTGGAATCCGATCCGAAGAGAAGGGGACCCTCTTTTGAAGCAGAGGCAGGGATATTGTCCATGGTGTAGGTTCAGTTGTTGACTGTGGAGTTGCGGCTGGTTTCTGGAGGAACAGTGAAAGTAGAAGACATGGTTAGGAAGAAAATTTCGACTCAAGGGTTGAGTTCGAAATATACTGTTAGGATTGTGCCAATAGGAATGTGGCAGTAAGGTTGCACTGTAGCTAGATGCCATGGGAATGCGTCAGCGTAGGGCAAAGCTATTAGCAATGTCACCCCTGAGCCGAAAGCCCTAAGATGGATATGGACATGAAGTCCATGGAGTGATAGAGGCGAGGTAAGAGATAAGTCTCAACGGATCAGAGTTCTGCTGGACTGGAGAACGAGAGTGTGACTTAGAGTCAGAGAGAGAGATTGGGCTGAACCAAGTTGATATTCAAACTGAGTATCTACAGTGTAATTCTAAGGCTTATATACTAGTTAGGAGTCTGATCTAGTTCCTACTCGGAGTGGTCTACATTCTAGAGTTCTCAGAAGATGTATTCTACCAGTCGGTAGCTGATGAGGTCCGATGACATGTTCGCTACCGATGTTGGGCTATTGATAAATTGTAATGGAGAAGTGAAATATACAAAAGAATATGAAATAGAATATGAAATAGAAACTGGGAATCGGAATCCATAGGTTTCCGGGCTATAGTTTGTTGGGTTGAGTGGAAGTCAGGTTTCTGTCAGCATGCTCATTACATATATTCAGAATATTTCCAGATGTCAAAAGCATAGACGAAGAGGATGTATGAGACCAAGCATCATTGACAAAACACACAGCAGCAGATGATAAAGTGAACATACCTCCACCTTGTCATCTCACCAAAATAGACTGAGGGAGGTTGTCATGAATTCACCCCTATTTTTTGCCTTATCTTATCTTATCCTATCTCATCAACTCATCATCCAATTCTCATCATATCTTATCCAGTTCATCCATGACCTGTGTCACTCCTTCCTTCATCTGCTCCACACTACTCACATCAATCTCTGATCTTCTATCATCTACACACCTCGCATCATCAACATTCTGATCACCGATGCTGCTTCGGTATCACATTCTTTCCACTTCACCTGATCAAGCCACTACCTTGTGAGAGCATTTTTACTCAGGTGAAGTTCAATTCATACAGGCACCATGCTTTCTGGCTCACTGTACACTTGCCATTTGCTGTGCACATACTTCTCACTTTGTTGGCTGCTCATCATTTGCTCATTGGACCACTCTATGTATCACAGAACAAAGTAGGATAGTATTCTTAGATATGTACTACTTGTATTTAAGCACACCTTAGCTGGACCTAAAACCCAGCTTTGGCTAAGGTTATATACTCCTAACTCTTAAACTGACTCCAAGTTCTATGACTAAAAGAGTCAATGCTACTTAAACAGCGGTCTGCATTGCTACTCTTACCCTGAATCACTGAACATGAGTGACAGATAAGAGCCTGATGTTGCTTACCTAGTTAGTGCATTACAGAGGTGGATGTGAGACAACTCACAAGGAGCAAGGTTTTGCTTGATAGTTGTGATACCTAAAAGCATAGAATATAGACAAAGTAGCATGCATGACAGGACAATCCAACCATATGCTAGCATGTAGGATATACATACTAGTCTGTACAAATGGAACTAAAAAAAAAAAACCTAGGTGAGGGTTTGTGGCACTTCAGTCAGGCAGTGTGGAACACTACTCACACCATTGAAGACATCTTCCTAATAGTGACACTCTTCAAACATGAAGCCTAGACATACTATCTTTCCAAAGCAAATGCATTAGATGAATTCACAGACATTTCTAAAGGCATCAGAGAAGGCTTTCTGATGGGCCTCAAAAACTTTAAGCTCAATTGCACCTTCATTCCAAAAAATCACTATACATTCCCATTGCATCATGACTTTCTCATCACAAAATATGCTGAAGATATCAAACTCAAATAGTTATCCAAAGGTTATAACCTTATAGAACTGAAAGTATTGATAGGTACAGTACCTTCCTTCATTGATAGACATCAATTTTCACACCTTCAATCACAAGACATTTCTGCACAGCACCTCTTAGTGTAGCAGAGACTAAACTGGGAAAACTTTGAGCAATAGTAGATCAATATTTTCCACACAACATGACACCATTAGACCTTACACCTTGTAGTGATACTGAATACCTTATCTTAGTCAATCCCAGGATGACCTCTATTAATCCCATCATTGATTCTAAGAAATTTCAATGTGCCTGGAGCAGTTCTCTGTGTTATTTGAAGGTCACAAATACACTGCCTAGAGCACAAGCAGCCATGTTTGATGTGGAGTCTACCTTCTGCAATGTCTTCACACCCATCCATCTGACCATTCATCACAATCTCCTTAAATAGCCTCATACATCTCAATCCATGCCTAAATTTCAGTGCATCACCTTCACCTGGAATTTGGGAGTGCATAGCAGACATGATAGTCCAAATCCTACTGAACAAAATAGATAGATGACTTTGTCTTCTTCAGATCACCTAAGCAAATTGGAAATGAACAAACCTTCTCATACAATGCCAACATCATATGAAAAATAGCAGCTGATCTGGGCTGGCCATGGGCATCAGTGAAGTATATCCTCTTTGCCATGGCATTCCCATATATAGGGTTCTGATAGGATATGGAATTAAAATTTGTCTTATTGCTGGCTGCAAAAAAGAAGAAGTACTTGGCAAAACTCCTTCCATAGCTTTCCATAGACTGAAGGAACAAAAACAATCAAGAAGAATGTAGAGTCAGTTATCAGAACTCTCAATCACATCTGCCTTGTTGTTCCAGACAGACACTCTCATATACCAACATTCTACAAGTTCTGAGCCTCATTTAAAAACACAGAGTCAGCCTCTATTCACCACACAATATTCAAAAATCTCACAGACAATATGCAATGGTGGAAGCAGAGACTAAGCTTGAATCTGCTTGGCATACTCATTGTTTCACCATCGAAACCATTGGATATATTGCTCATGATTGATGCCTTCATGCCATAGAATCTCAGTTTAGTAGTAAATGAGAAGTGGCTTGCATGGAAACTAATCCTGTTAGCAACCAACTTGACAAATAAGATCAAATGCTGGCTGTCTCACATTCGTCTGAGACAATCACCATTAGCATAGGCAATGTAAGTCTTATCAAGTGACTGAGTTTCTGTCATGAATTCATCTCTATTTTCTGCCTTATTTTATCTTATCCCATCAACTCATCATTTGATTCTCATCACACTACATGGTAGCTTCAATATTTAATGCTAAAATATTGAAATCAAAAGATATTTATTTTTAACAACATCTGAACTTGAAATATCTAAGAAATAGCTGAAATATGTTTTCAATATTTATGATTTCTTTAAGTTTTGAGGCAATTTTCCCAAATATAGAGAATATACTTAGAGTTTCCTTACTGTATTTTAGATTCAAATACCATTAAAATAAATATTTTTTAAATTCAATATTTCAGGCTCAATTATTGAGACCATCATGCAGTGTCATTTTTTCTCGAATCTTATCTGGCAGCCCTGGCTGTATATCTGAGCCTCAATATCCTGGATATAACCACAAAGTCATTTGCTAAAAATCATAGTTATAACCATAAGGCTCAAATCAGTCACAGTCTAGAAAAAATCTTAAATGAGTGAAAATTTTTTTATAATTATCTATTTCAGACATGTCAGTATCTTAGCTAATCTCTGAAAAATACAGCCACCCCTAAAATGGGTGGGTTAGGGATTGGCTCTAGCAACATTCAATTTCCTGCCCCCTGCTCACTGTCTGGGTTTCAAAATAATTGTATGGGCCCAAAATTTAATAGCTGAAATACAGCTACTGCTACCATGGGATGAGCACTGTTTATTTTGGCTGGATTCATTGGCACACACTTGAATGCACCTACTATAGGAACATAGCATTTCCAATATGATATGCTTTCAAAAGTAGACTGAATTTTGGGATAGCATGCAGTGTATTGGGCTTTTCAAAGAGTAATACTACAGATAAGCACAGAATAAATGACTCTAGGTTATTTATTTCTCACTGTATTCATGAGTAGCTAAAAAAACAGTGTGTCAACAATTTTCAGAATTTGCTGGGCCCCTGCTGCACAGTTGCTGTGTGCAATGTCCCATAATTTATGCTTATGAAAGCTCTTCTAGCCATTTAAATTACAATAGGTGGTATTTATTAGTTGATTGTCATGTTTTAACAACCTCTTATGGCTATAATACTCACATTATGCAATGGTACATGTCAATTATCATACAAAATACATGTACAGCACTCCTTTTAGAAGGTATATCCTCCAGTACCCATTCAACTTTGAGTAAAATGTCCATAAAAGCATAGTATACATCTATTTTGACTATTATAAACTCATAAATCTACCTGCTCTGACACAACTGAATTTTGGTTAGATGAAAATGTACCAGATGAGAATACTGTATAATTGTCTAATGATCTTCACAAGCAAAGAAGTGAATCATGAGATCTATATGACCAGATCACTGTGGATTGGATACCTTGTGTCGATAATAGCATGCATACTATTGCACATATCACTTATACTATGCTAGTAGAAGATATGTAGAACTGTGTACAATATAAATATCATTGAAAATGCCCTGAAATGCCAGGTAATTGCAGTGAATTTGATATTGTGATAGGCTACAAGGCTCAAGATGCACTAAAATTAATGTATGGATACTATTCATACCTCTAATATTATATGCCGATGGCTTTTGGAGCCTCAGAGAGCATGCGTTGAGCAATATATGCATCTCAAGGATGTATTCTGCTTGCTCAATCATCACAGACTACACAACCACACAGCGATTGAGTGGCTGTGTGGCACCTTTTTTTGTTTTGTCTCTCCACCTCTACCTCTTCATCTATCCATTTGCTCACACATTTTCCTATTTTTAGGGATATATGGTATGTTTTCTCTGTTTTCTATGCTAATCATTTGATTTTAAATGCTTTTGATGTATCTAGTGGGCTCAATTGCCCCAGGTAGCAACCATTTCCCCTCCACTGGCATGCGTAAGCCCTCACACAAGGCTGCACCATTCTCCTTCCCTCAGATGATGGACAACTCAATAACCATTGTATATGATAACTCTCATGATGATGGTGTGCTCTCCAGCAGCCAGGATAATTCTAATTCTCACTGCGACCCTCCCAACATCCTCCACATTGAAATCGGCACCAATCACTATTGACCACACCTTTCGAGCATGTCAACAATAATTAATTTTCTTGGGGAGTTGGTATCGCTTACCATCTGCTGCAAGGAGGGTATATGCATATAAAGCCAACTACTGGGACAACAGCAATGACGACAATGGAAATAAGCAACAAGAGTGGGAGAATCAGCAAGAGTTAGAGAAGGAAGAAGGTGTATGCAAGATGGCTGTGGATGTAAGCCACTAACTCTAATCGACTTAGATCGTGCTAGGATCGCTACTCGCACTTCGGTAGACGATACACCAGCAGGTCAAAGGCGACGAAAGCGAATGGAACGCTTAGACAGAAGAACGGAGTTCGATGTTAGGTAGAATAAACCTTAGCCGAAGCTGGGGTTTAGACCAGCTGAGGCTCTACTTAAATACACGTTGCGTAGGCTAAAGATAGTGCCGCAGCAACGTCCGACCGAGATCGCAGCATAGAGTAAGCGTGAACACGTAAGAAAAGGAAAAGAAAAAGAAAAAGAAAAGAATAATCGTAACATTACCCCCCTCCTCAAGACTCGTTCGTCCCGAATGAGCCCTGACTTTCCTCCCCACTCGTTGCCGACTCGCTATAGAAAGATAAGACACTATAATCATCGTTGTCCTCGTTTTCGCTGTCGAAGTCCCAGTTTTCATGGACTCGTTGTAAGTTGTCGAGGTCGGAATCGGAGTCTCCGTCGTTGGGTGTTTCTTCGATGACGGGTATTCCGTTGGCCTCTTCCTCCGTGACCTCTCGTAGGTCTATTGAGGACTGTACATCCGAATGCCTTGGGTTGGTGCATTCGGAGGAGTCCACCGTTTCGACATCCGTGACGCACGGGGTGTCCGGGTCATGGTATGGCGTTTTAGCTTCCGGAGGTATTTTGTCGTCTCTTCCGACCGTCTTTCCGAGTTTATCAACTTCCCAACGGATTCTTTGGAGGTGGGCTTCGTACTCGTTTACCAGCTCCTCCGCGTTAGCCATGTCTGAGCGTTTGACCCAGGAGTTCTCTTCCCTCGGGTATCCTCTCCATTTCACTAGATATTCAGTTATCGCGCGACGAGTTCGTCCGCGACCTACTACTTTGTCCCGCTGTTCCACGATCTCCTCAATTTCGTATTCTTCTTCATCATCGATCAATTCTGGAGGCGGCCTCTCAGGACGCGGTTGATTCGGAAATGTTGGAGCGATGTAGGGTGTTAAGAGCGACTCGTTGAAGCGGTTATGGATTTTCCATCTTGTCGGCAGCTTCAACTCATAAGCGGAGACCCCCTTTTTGGCCGTAATTGCAAAGGGGCCTACACGACGGTCCCCAAGCTTCTTGGTCGGCCGAGGAAGGTGAAGGTTGGTCGAGTCGAGCCATACCTTGTCTCCTACTTGGTATTCCACTGCGACGTCTTTGTGCTTGTCGTAGGCCTTCTTCATGGACTCTGCCGCCTTTTCTAACGATTTCTTGGCTTCGCCTTGTGCTTTCTCTATCTCCTCCAACAGTTTCCCCGCTGCTGGAACGGCCGTTGCTCGTTGAGGGTTTTTAATCACCTCTCCGTCCCTTCCAAAGATAACCCGATAAGGAGAGTATCCCGTCGCTGAGTGTTGACGATTGTTATGAGTGAAGGCTGCCAATGGCAACCATTCGCTCCAGTCGTCTTGCCTGTCGTTGACGAACATTTTAAGGTACTTTTCGATCTCTTGATTAACCCTCTCCGTTTGGCCATCTGTCTGTGGGTGGTATGCCGTGGAAGGATTCCCCTCGACGTGGAGCAGTCGGTAGAATTCCTTCATGAATTTAGATACAAAGACCGAGCCTCGGTCGGAGATCACTTTCTCGGGCATTACGCCGTAGGGCACGTAGACGTAGTCTCTTAGGATTTTTGCAAATCCGAGGGAGGTGAGTTCCTCGGTACAAGCAATAGGAATGATGGCTTTCGAGAAACGGTCGACGATAACGAGAATGGAATCATATCCCTTGGAGTCGGGGAGTTTAGTGATCATGTCGACCGAGATATGGGTCCACGGTCGTGTAGGTATCTCGTTTGGATGCAGAGGGGCCCGCTTCGGGCGATGATCTGCCTTGGTTCGCTGACAGACCTCGCATCCCTTCACATAGACTTCCACGTCCCGACGCATTCGTGGCCACCAGTAGTCGCGAAGTACCAACTCTTTGGTCTTCTCAATTCCTGGGTGTCCTGCCGTAACGTGGTCATGCTTGAGGGCGATGATCTGCCCTCTGAGATCCCGATCCATGGGCACATAGATGCGCCCATCGTACCATAGAAGGTCTTGTTCGCGGGATACCCTTTTTCGTGGTTGAGGGAGTCTGAAATGCCCCTGTCCCAACGGCGTGGATCGTGCGTAGCGGCCTTGATCCTTTCGTGCAGGTCCTCCGTGGTCGGCATCATCAGGGCCCTAAAGTGTTCCGCTTTAAGGACCACAACGTCCCGATTGTCCCCCTTTCCCTGGTCGTGATCTGCCCTCCTGGATAGGAGGTCGGCTTTGCGATTTTGTGCCCCGGGTTTGTGGTGCAAGGTGAACTGGTACTCTGCCAGCTCAGTTACCCACCGTGCTTGTCGTCGGTTGAGTTTCTGAGGCTTGCGGAAGTACTGGAGATTGGAGTGGTCCGTCCAAATCTCAAAGTCTTCCCTTGCTCCCATGAGGTACTGTCGCCACTCCTCTAGGGCGATCATTATGGCTAAGAGCTCCTTGTCATAGATTTCGTAATTGCGCTCCGTAATTGAAAGAGCCTTGGACAGAAACGCGACTGGACGCCATTTCTCATCCTGCCATTGGGAAAGCACGGCTCCTACCGCTCCCTCACTTGAGTCTGCCTCTACTCGGAATCGTCCTTGGTCGAGGGGGATGGCCAACACCACGTCCTCACGGAATAACTCTTTAAGCTTCTCGAATGCCTTCTGCTGAGCCTCCCCCCACTTCCACTCCTGCTTTCCGGTAAGCATGGTCAGTGGTCGAACGTGCTTGCTATAGTCACGGATGAATCGTCGATAAAAGTTGCAGAACCCGAGGAAGGACTGTAACTCTTGCTTCCTCCGGGGAACTGGCCAATCTAGGAGACCCGCGATCTTGACAGGGTCCATGCGAATCTTTCCCTCGCTGATGATAACTCCCAAATACTCCGTCTCTTCCACCTCGAATTCACATTTCTCGGCTTTAAGGAACAAGTTGTTCTCCCGTAAGATCTGGAGGACCTTTCGTACGATCCTTTTATGCTCCGCCTTGGTCTTGGAGGCAATCAGGATGTCGTCCAGATATACTGATACTTCACCAGCGGTGATGAGATCTTTAAAGATATCGTTCATCATCCACTGGAAAGTGGCAGGAGAATTGGTAAGCCCAAAGAACATAACGAGGGGCTCGTAGAGGCCGCGGTTGGTTCGAAAGGCGGCCTTCCACTCGTCCCCCTTCTTGATTCGTACATTGTTATAGCCCCATCGAACGTCCAGCTTGGTAAAGTACTTGGCCTTCTTCAACCGGTCCATGAGCTCCCCGATAAGCGGTAACGGATAACGGTTCTTGATGGTCATCTCGTTAAGCTTTCGGTAGTCTTGGACAGGTCGTAACTTCCCATCCTTCTTTTTAACGAAGAAGAATGGAGAGGCCATCGGGGACTTCGAGGCTTGAATACGCCCGGTGGTTAAGTTCTCATCGAGAAACTTGTCGAGCTCCTCCTGTTCGGTCGGATTGAGTGGATAGACTTTGCAGTCCAGGTTGGCATTAGCGTTGGGAATTAGCTCGATGGCGTGGTCCCAAGGTTTACGCGGGGGAAGTTCATCGAAGTTCTCTTTGTCGAAGATATCTTTGAAGTCCCGATACTCTTCGGGTACTATTTCCTCAAATGACTTGACGTCTTTTTTGGCGTTGGCTTGGGCGGCTAGCTCGTTGGCCCTAGTTCCCATAGCCCTGACGTGAAATGCTTCTTCGAAATCGATTACTAGAATGGTGTCCCCTTCCTCGTATTCGTCCCATCGTGCTGACGGGTCGGTGTCGGGCAGGGAAAAGGGAATCTTCCTGCACGTACACCGGGCCAAGGTGACTGCTCCGGTATCCCAATCAATGAGCGGGTTATGACGTTGTAACCAGTCATGCCCCAGGAACAAGGGGGTGGAGCCTAGATCGACTACGGCTAGTTCGATCCGTTCCACGTGATCCCCTATACGTAACCTTACTTCGGCATACTCCGTGATGTCTCCTCCTTTGTTTCTGGTGCCGTCGGCATTATATACCGGAACGGGTCGGGCCGCTTTCTTTAGGTTGAGATCGTGGGTCTGGGCCCAGGCGCGATCGATCGAACTCCCGGTGGCCCCGCTGTCGACTAGGGCGGATAGAGCGTAGACTTCCCTGGTATCGAGTGTTTCCAACTGTACTTTTATTGAGACGTTCCTCCCCTTCCTCCCTCGTATGTACATTGGTGGCTTCCGTAAATCCTCCATCCATTGCCACCGCTCTCTGGCTTGAGCCGCTGTTTCCGTCTGCTCCTCTAGCTGATGACACAGTTTGTCTGTCACTTCCTCGCGTCGTCGCGGGTGTACCCATACGTTGAGAACGGCGCGAGCTGCCGCATCTCCTCGAGCAATCCGTAAGGCCCGACGGGTCCACAAGATGCCGTGGGGCTCGTAGTACATTGCCGCAAACACCTTCTGGTCGTTGGCATTTGCGGTGAGAGATACGGCGGGGGACGAGGGCCTTTTCGGGGTTACGACCGGTATGTCGGACCGTAGATGGGCTTCTTCGTCTTCTACTTCCTCCAGAGATACCTGGGGTCTTGTACTCGTGCACGGCAATTGGTCGCCGGGCCGGTCGGGAAGGCCCCTCGGTGGCATTTGGTCACCTTCCGACGAGTCGGTAGAGGAGGGCGCTCTGCCCTTTCTTCGGCCCTGGCCTCGGGCATTTGTGCTCGGCGTTGTAACCTCTACGGTTGTCCTAGACTTACTGCTCTTCCTAGACCCGGCGGTACTTCGGGTTGCCCTTCGCGGGGGCACACATATTGGCTCCCCCGAGGGGTCTGCACTGTTTGCCGTCGGGTGTCCCTTGGCTACTAAGGGCAGGTGGTCCCCCGAGCTCACGACCTCAGCTGCTTTTCCGACGCTTCCCACTGGAACAGACGCCTTCACAGACGCAGGCCCAGCGGGCTGGGCTGACGACCTTTCTCCCACTCCGGGCTGACCTCCCTTCGTCAAGGGTGCAGTCGAGACACGACCTAGGGGGCTCTGCCCTCGAGGGGCTTTCCCTGTACGGTCGGCCGGGGGTTCCTGAGCTGGGACGGCCCCTAGGGGTTCGGTTCCAAGCGCAGACCGCGCCAGGAG